TCACCATACCATTAAACATTTTAATTTTAATGGTTTTAGTCCCAATGGTATTGCAAACTGCATCATTACCCATTAGAACCGTTTTTCCATTATAAGGTTTATAAGTATCAAACTATTCCCTATACGGACACATGTGGTAAGAACATCCAGAATTCAATATCCATTTGTCAGCAAGATAATTCATATCTATGGTGACTGACAATAAATCATCATTACCGTCAAAATCATCTTGTGCAATGTCAGCTTGATCTGAATTCGCAGATATCCCTTTGTCCTCCAGATTTCACTTTCTTTAATAGCAGTCCCTTTTCATATGTCCTTCCTTGTGGTAGTAGTAACACTTGATTTTGCTGACACTCTTCCCTTTTGATTTTGAGTGTGACCTCCCTCTATTTCCAGAGCCTTTATTTTTACTTCTTCCTCGTTGTTGGCTAGGTTCACCATTGGCCATCAACCCTTTTGCTTGGGAACCGTTTCCTAGACTTCAGAGTGTCTCAGTCGCCAAGAGAGCCGTCATCACCTCATCTATCCTGAGTGTATCTTTCTCAACCAAAAGTGTTGTCACAAGTGTATCAAAAGAAGATGGAAAAGAAGCTAAGGGAGAATAGTCTTATCCTCCTCTACAATTTTAACCTCAACACTAGAAAGTTAAGTAACAATTTTGTTAAACTGATTGAGATGATCAACAATATTTGTTCCTTCTACCATCCGTGATTGATATAATTGTTTCTTCATGAACAATTTGTTTGTGAAAGATTTTGACATATAAATATTTCACAATTTTTCTCATAAATCCGGAGCAGAAGTTTCATTTAAAAAATTATATTTTACCTCTAGTGCGAGAGATAAATAGATGGTACTCACAACTTTCATCTCAAGTTCCTCCCAGTCCTCCTTTCTCATGTCCGCTGGTTTTTGTCTATCTCGAGTATTGCTTTGGGTAGTCCTTACTGCACCAAGATGTCTTTAATCGTGCTTTGGCATAGACTGAAGTTGTTTTTCCCATCAAAGGGCTCCACCTCAAATTTTCCAATCGAGATGCCTTTTCCCATCATCGTACTAAGCGTTGGTAATCAAGAACTATGCGCACTTATTCTTAATTATAATCTTCCCAAACAAACTTGGCTCTGATTCCACTTTTTGGGAATTGACTTTGCAACAATTTGGTCAATACAACGACAAGAAAATAAATAAGCAGAATAAAGGAAATCAAAGCACAACTCACAACACCAAGATTTACATGGTTCGACAAAATTGTTTCACCTACGTCCACAAGACGTGATCCAGTCTCCTTTCTTTACTATTGAGAGAAAATTGGTACAATGGTATAAGCCTCACCACTTAGGTTTAAATCCCAAAATTGAGCCCTTAACCCCTTGTACAACCCACTCAACTTTACCCTCTTAAACCCTCAATAAAGAAAACCTCTTGTACTCTCAACTAAAGAATGAAAATTGAACAAATACAATTTTTAGGATGATCTTAAAACCAAAAGACCTTTGCCTATTTATAGGCATCTCAAGGTGGTGGCAGATGAACTTCTTTGCATTTAAGCAATGCATTTGATTGCTCCACTTGTATCCTCCAATAAGATTTTAGCATTGACATCATCTAACCAATTACAAAAGAAGCAATGAAATTGTTCCACTTGTACCATCCAATAAGCTTTTAGCAATGATGTCAGATAACCAATCAAAATAGGTTTTTTTAGCAATGATGCCACCAAACCAATCAAAATTTTAGCCACTGCCAATAGTTTCAATTTCCTCACCTTTTGTATCTTCTACTTCTCCAATCTCTGATTCCAGATCAGTTCCAGCTTCAACTTTGCATCGTATGCAAACTAGAAGTAAGTCAGGTATTCTAAGAGGAAGGTTTTTCTAGCTACTTCACAGTCTCCTGAATCAACTTCCTACACATAGGCTTCCAAACTTTCAGAATGGAAGTCAGCTATGACTGATGAGTTTTCAGCTCTACAGCATCAACATACATGGACATTGGTTCCACCTCCTTCTAAGCATAATGTCATTGGTTGTAAGTGGATTTACAAGCTCAAACATAATTCAGATGGTAGTATGGCCAGACATAAGGCAAGGTTGGTTGCAAAAAGTTTTAACCAAGAAGTAGGTTAGGATTACCTAGAAACCTTTAGTCCTGTAGTTAGACAAGCCACTATTAAGCTGATTCTTGCTCTTTCAGTTCAGTTTGGATGGAAATTACATCAACTTGATGTTAAGAATGCTTTTTTTCATGGCATTCTTAAAGAAAAGTTTACATGACTTAGCCCCAGGGTTTTGTTGATCCTCAGCATCGTCATTTTATTTGCAAATTGTAGAAGGCCATCTATGGCCTTAAACATATAAATAATTAATTTCAAATATTGACATTGTTTTCCCCAAAGCATTGTTTCATTAAAAAAATATCAATTAAAGAGACAACCTTCATATACGAGAGAAATACAAAAAAATCAACCAAAAAAAATATTATGAAGTTATCATCAATAGAATTGACAAAAAAATTTTATCAATAATTGATTAAAAAATTAATCTCTTTAGTCAGACACAACTTAGTATGCATTATTCATGCATAATACATCAAAATTGTTTAGAAAAATTGAACAATTTTTAACAGAAATAATTTATAAAAATCAAATCTACGACAAGTCAATTAAATCAATCTAGGGTCAAAACAAGTTAACTAAATCAATCTTAGATGTAGGAATAACTTAATTCATTACAATCAATTTATTCAAGCCTAATCAATCGAAATGATTTTATCCAAAAAATAATTTATAACACATAAATTCCAAATATAAAAATCCAATTATTTGAAAACCGTAATCACTAGCCCAAAAATTAAAACTTATAATAATGATCAAAATCAAAGAAATCCTTCATTGTTTACCTCCCAACAAGTTAACTTTGAAAGAATCTCTTAAGCTCTCATCTTTTTAAGCTATATTCCCAATAGATCTTTGCAATAATAATTGAAGTCGAAAATAGAGAGATACCACTAAAGCTGGAGTAAAAATTTGTGAATAACGAATTTCCTAAGTGTAGAACTAGAACAAAGAGAGAGCCTAAGGATCCATAGACGTCGAACAGAGAAAGATCACAAAGGAGACGGACGAGGTTTTGGCCAGAACAAAGGAAAAAGGGACTTGTGCCTTGATAAAGTAACTTTTTACTTTTGCTAACATTTAAAAGAACCACATGTTTGAAAATATACATTACTACCCTTAAGTTTAAAAGCTTTTCAGTGAGGGCAATTTTTAACAAATTCTAAAACTTCAAAAAATCTCAACTGCACCCCAATATTTTTTCAAATTTTAGTGGGGACAGCTGCCCCCGCTGCAAATCCGCTGCAGTGTGGGCAGGGGAAAAAGAAAGAGGTGGAGAAGATTGAAGACGCATGTGTGTGTGTGTTTGTGTTAGAGAGAGGGAGAGAGAGAGCGCAAGCATATCATCATCAATAATGGATTTGTTTGTAAACGGGTTTAACCCTTTTAAAACATGGATTGAATTTGTGTGGCAACAAGTTAAAATGTAATGTATTAGGGCCTTGCAAAGGTAAGAGGAGAAGTTTATGGTATCAAAAAAAAATTTGGTATTGTACCATTATTATAAATTTTGTGGGTTTTTTTATAATATTTGAGAGTCCTTTCATAACTTTTGGGTAATTTGCGATTCATCCTAAAAAAATATTAGAATCGATTGTAACATTTATAGGATCAATTGAAATTATTATAAAAGTTATTACCTGGCCCTAAAAATTTGTAATTTAAACTTTAAAAGTTGTAATTTGACCTAAATAATTATAAACTTTTTTGTTTTAAACAAACCACAAAACTTTTATCAAATTAAAACCCTCAAAAGTTGAAAATTTTGGAGTTTGATACCTTAGTCTTGTACTACGTAATATTTTTCGTTTGCGAAAAAAGTTTTGTTTACATGGTTCAATAAATGATGTTTGTTTAACGCTAGACTAACATTTTAGAGAATCTGTTACCTAACACCTATGCAGAATGGAGGTCAGTATTATTATGGATGTAATTATTCTTAAATAATGTGTATTCAATAAAATTGCCTTAAAAACTCGCATGCACAAATATTCTATCATAACTCTACTTTTTTTCACCAACTTTCTTTTTTCTTTTTCTTTTTTTTTTTTTGGTCTGTTCTCTTTCTCTTCTACTCACTGTCTAAACACACACACATGATCTTGTCACTATATTTCTGCTTGGTTCTAAACTCTTGAGTCCAAGAGCCTCCCGTGCACAAACAGATGGTCCGGCATGAAAGTCAATTAACGATCTTGTCTTTTGTATTATAATGAAAATTTTCAAGGCTTAATTACGTGTATTTTCTCTCCAAACCTAAGTACAATTAGAATTAGAAATTATTAAGCTCATCACTAAGTCAAGATTCTTCTAAGAATTTGCTATAAACAAGGTGATTCTAATGCACATGACATGACTAGCATAGTATATAGACTTACAAAAAGAACGTTTTACATAAGGTGAACTTGAAACTTTTTTTTGTAAATTGGTAGATCGTTATTACAGTGAGGAATCAACTATTACAACTTTTGCATAATATATTTACAGCGGATGAGAAAGCACCCACGGAGGGGCTGAATAAAAAGTCTAAAAGAAGAAACAATATAACCCCCAAAGAGGGAGCATAAATAATTTAGTCAAGCTTTTCATGAGAATTGACTTCTTGACCTCTTGGTTACAGAATTTTGAGAGAATCAAAGTGACAAACTCGGCTAAGCCTAGTTAGTTAGGGTGAACAGGAACTTGTCCCGCACGAGGAGGATTGGTCTTTCTGAGACTAAGATATCAAGGTGGTCAATACTCGGATCGGAATTCTATATAATATAAATAGGCTTAATCGCGGGATCATAAAAAGCAATGCTCGCCAGGCATGTAAAAGGACTAGGCTATTGACAAGAGCCCTCTGCCTTAGTCTATAAGGTGACACAAAACTAGTGGATTTTTAAGCACACTGGCAGTTGTGACCACCATAAGATGCCAAAGACTTTTGCATGTCAAATGAACATGTCGACCTTGCTGACAAAAATGAAGCTGGAGTGGTAATGGAAGACTCAAAGCAACGGTCTGCAGTTTCTTCTTTGCAAGTATCAGAGGCCTCAAAGCAGCCTTCTACAATCTCTTCTTCCTCTATTGTTTCAAGAGTTGAGTGTACTTTGAGCCTAGAGATCCCGAGAAGGCGAGCCGGAGCAACGGCTGAGAATGGAGTCAGAGGTGAGATTTTGGAGTCATGGGTAATCTTGGGTGGCAGAAGAGCTTGATGGGGTGGGATTGGGAACATAGATGGGGATTTCTGAATTGCTTCCATGTCTCTTGATTTGGGTTTTAAAGTCAAGGGTAAATTGGCTATGATCATGGAAGGAGAGGGTTGGCCAATATATATATAGAGCTGCCTATGGAAACATATGTATAAAAAAAGACCAAGGATGTTATGTTGATCAAAAGTTTTTATTAAATTTTTTATCATAAATGATTTAACACAATTTTCACCATTAAATACATGGGTCCTATTAATGCTCAATAATTGAGATTATATTACGTTACTTGGAATAAAAAACTTGATAAAAAACTTGATAAACATAACATTACTGGAAAGAAAAAGTTATAGTTCTTGGTTCACTTTTCGGTAATGTATCGAAAAGTTAAAAAAAAAAAAGTCGAAAGATTATAATGTTATATCGATAAGTTCCACCTATAGAGCAGTAATTGAACTCCAAATGTGTATGCACCTCAAAATTTAGTCAGTTTCATTCAAATAAATAAATAAATAAATATATATATATATATATATATATATATATATATATATATATCGTTTGTGAAAATACAGGTACAATATAAATCAATGTGAATAATTTTGAGAGAGATGTTAATAGTAGTTGAATAAGTCTATTTGAGATCATCAATGGAATTATTAAAGTTTATCTTATTTTATATTATAAATATATAAATACTCAAAAAAATGATAAGTGATATGGTGCCGAATTTATTTTTTAATACCACAGTCAAGTTCGTTAGACTTTTGTTTTGGGTTATGTCAATCAGGCCAGTTTATCTTCATCCTGGCGTTGCCTTTGTCTGTCAGCTAGGGTAGTATCATTACCTGTTTATTGTCTAGGCATGGCATCACCTTGTGCCCTTAACAGTAAAACAACTTACTTGCAAAAATAAAAAATTTTAAAATAACAGGTTGCTAATCAGACCGTATCATTTTAGATTGGGTTTGTGTTACTTCCACATGATTCGTAAACCAAAAATCTCCCTTTTCTCTTGATCTATCAAACGTATATACATAGCTGTCCCATAAAATACTCAATCTACTTGATCTACCTTTTGGCAAAATCGAACCTTTTTTGTATTTTGGTCAACCTGAAACAATGTACTATCATAGTGTTTCATACTGAGTAATGTTACAGAAACATATATTCCAAATATAATTATCTAGACAGAATGACCTTGTCTACTATCCAAAATAAAGGACAATATCTACTTATTTTGAAAACATCACTCCCATACCATTCTATACAGGAACTGTTATAAAAAAAATTTGGATTAAGTTCTCCTTACACATATTTTCTCCATTTTCCTTCTTGGTACATCATTCTCATTGAATTTATGTAAGAGTCTTACTGATTATTAATAATGAATGATAGAAATTAAAGAAAAAAAATATTGAAACGATACGGATCCAAATTTTTGAAGCATTCTCCCAAACTAGTGTATTTAGCAAAAATAGATGTTTTTAAAATCAAATCATACATGGCATAGCACGTAGCTGCTAAGCTGCCTCAATCTATAAAGAAATTGAAAGTATATAGATCTCTCTTTTCATATTTCTGCAGTTTCACCTTGTTACTTTAGTATAGATTTTTTTATCTATTCAAGAATCATCTCAATCACGTGTTTTTTAAACTCGTTATTACGAGATAAATTTTGATTGCATGTAATCACCATCAAATCAAGGACATCTGTAATCTGTTAATCCCATTTTATGCAGTTGAAAAAAATTCAAACTCAAAGCATATAGGGTTATGCCTCTTTCGACTATTGAACCGACACGTGTAAGTTGAGAAAAATATTTCTCCGACCTTCGATGAGATTTACTGTAAAATTCAGTAGGACAAAACTCCAGAGACATGAGTCCAAGATCACTGGGGATAAATAAGGATACTCTTTTTTTTTTTTGGGGGGGGGGGGAAGGGAAGAGGGGGACTTAAACTTTGACCTAAAGAAGACAAAACTTTTACAAGATAAGAAATATCATTGAACCAAAGACTCATTGGTAAAATAAATAAGGATACTGAGTCCATCTACTTCGTCTCATATATGAAAAAATATTAGACGAAATCATTATACCATGTCAGTAGTATTATATGGAGTAACGGTTTATTAATAGATAAATAAATTAGTAAATTAACTCTACTAAAAACTCATAACTATCCAGTCATGTAATATATAATCACCTTCCTAATGGAAAGTAGGTCCTATTTTATCTTTTTTACTACCCTGGTCGACAAGGTTATGCATTGGTTTATGCATGTATTGAGTTGGTTTTTAGAGCTATTTATTGGGCTCCTTCACGGGAAGTCTATGTTATCGAAAAATTGTTTTTCGATATTAAACAACCATTATAAATTTTGAGGATCATTTATAACACGTGAGAATTATTTATAATTTTGGGGGTCATTTATAATTTTTGAAATTATTTGTGATCGGCCCTAAAGGTTTTAAAATCGATCTCAAATTGACCCACAAAAAATTATAATATCATCTCAAAAATTGAAATTTTTTTATTGTAAATAAATCTAAAAATTTACATTTATATCTCAATCAACACAACTTATAAAATTTCACCATTCGATACTAAAATTTTTCGTTGGATACCATAGTTGACTCTGTTCCGCTAAGGTCTTTGTCTTTTGCATAGTGGAGGGCATCAGTTGTCGTTGTTCGAGTGCCCTACATTTTCCACTTTTTCTTGTTGGACCCCAACATATAAGCACAAAGTTTTGCTTTGTAGAATCTTACAACTCACCAACCTTTTTGCTTTAATTAGTTATCCTTGTCAAGACGGCACACACTTATTTTGAGCTTATGTGACGATGTTAGCGGGCTGGTGGCATCAATAATGTATGGTACCCAAATTTATAATTAAATAAAAGTTTGCTAATTTATTTATATCTACAATTAAAAACTTTTAAAGTCCTAATTTGCCCTTAAATAATTATTTAAAGTTATGTTTTTAATTTTGTAATTACCCTAATCTAATAATTATCTAATTCATTTGATTTTCATACCCTACAACTGTTGTAATGACTGACTTAAATTCTAGACTTTCCATTTATCTCAACTTATTAGTAACCAAAATGAATATTCATTTTTCAAATCAAAAGGATTAATCTAGCTAGCATATTCATTGTGCAACGCTAATTGTTGCAAAGAGGAAGGCGATACATTCAAGCCCATTCTTCTTCCTTTCATTGATTCGTGTATTCTCATCTCGTTGTTTTGTTTCTTTTGCTGCTTTTTTTCTTTTCATAAAGCCCAAAATCAATTTTCCTCATTGGTTCATGCTTTTTTTTTTTCTCATCTCACTATGTCATTATGTTTTTTTTTTCTTTCCAAGATACAATAAAACCCAAAATCAATTTGTTATTTGACTTCGCTATGCCCAAACGAAGTCAAATCTAGAATATCTTTGGATTTTTCTAATATGTCAAGATATTAGAATTCTGTCTCTACAAAAATTAGATTCTAAGAAACTTAAAAAAAAATAACAAAAAGCGTTTCAAGCCTTTTTCTTGAGAAATTGATGGAAAATTGAAGAGTCTTGGAATGACTAATTCTTAAATAGACCAATTAGTAACTATTAAGGAAGCCATTGAACAGGTATGGTGATTGTTGAAGAGAACCAGACTTGTCTTTTAATTAACAGAACTTTAAACTTTTAAAATTAATTGTCTTTAACAGTCATATTTTAACAGTTACTTTCAAATTTAAACATAATCATCCAATCTTACCTCTTAGTGATGTACAGTCTAGATCTGACCATTAGGGTATTTAACTTGATCATTGATCAAGAACAAATAATCAATCATGAAATTCACCATCCTATTGTATGTATTGGTGAAATTGAAAGTTCGATCAAAAAAAATAAACAAATGGTCATGATCTGACTGATCCTTGCTACGATGCTTACATGCCATGCCCCTCTAACGCGCCACTACCCATGCCCCACATTCGCGCGGATGGCGTTTCACGCCATTCTAATGTGTACCATCATGTGATGTGATAAGTGTCTATTAATAAATGTGCAGTCGCAAAACAACACCAATACTGTCCTCTAGGGGTGCAACTTGAAGATTGTCCATGTTTGGAGAAGGGATAACTGTCTAAAATTTCCCCCTCCATTTCATTTGATTTTTTTTTTTTTTGTAAATTTTAAAACTTTAGTCATCATAATAACGTAATTTCTATCTTATTTCCTGAATTACGATTGCTTTCATGACACATAGCTTGAACCAAGAGTGAAGAGAGAGAACTGGAGACTAAAGATCGAGTCATGATACTAAGTCGTTTGAGATAAATTTAATTCTACTTTTTAATTTATTAAACAATTTTACTTATTTTTTAAAAATATAACCTATCTTTAAAGATTTGTTTTAAAAAAATTAATTTTCCGATTCCTACTGCCTAAATTTTCAATAACCCAAATTTTTTAAAATTTAGTGGATGCAAATTTTCCGATTCCTTCGCCTAAATTCGCCCCGGTTTGAACGCCACCTTTTAGTCAAAAATCTTAAAAACTCTTTTTTTAAATAATATTTTACAATAAAAAGCATGAGTTCAACCCATTTTCTATTTTAATTTAAAACTAATTTAAACAGTACGGTATTGCTAGAAAAAAGTTAGAGAAATATACAATCATTGAATCCTATTTATGCCTGTTCCTTCAACACGGCTCAAGAAGTCTATGGCAACTTGTGATCAGGAAAAGAACTAGACGGAACCGAAAGTCTATAGAAGGATCATTGGGACCAAAAGCAGTTCAACGTCATACTTGCCTTGAGGTGTGATTGTTCATGCCATGGATAAGAGGTCATTAAGATGTGTGTGTGTAGAGAGAGAGAGAGAGAGCTAGCAAAAGTTGAGTTTTGGAGCAACTCAATTACAATGGGATGATAACAATGTGGCATCATCCATGTTTATGAAGATGTCAACATCTTTGAACACCCATGTGATAGTCTGAATGTGATTTCAAGAGGTCATTAAATTAAATTTTTGTTGACATAATTCATCACAGCCATTAAATTAGTTGTGGATTTCAACAAATACCGAGACTTGTTGTCAATATAATAGTTATTAGTAATTAGGTTAGTAAATTAGACCCAAATAATATTATTTTTTCACTTTGTTTGGTACAATCACAGAAGAAAGCATAGCTTTTGATCACTCTGGCATGTGTAAACTCTCTTTTCCCTTCATTAAAAGAAAAACTAAAGTTTAACATTAATTCAAAGAAGAAGTGTTGTGTTTATGCTTGACTATGCAGCCTAACTTCTTCATGGAAATCCCAGAATTTCCAAAATTTCCAAAGGATATCGAAAACTTTGTTCGAGTTTATGTCAACTTGGATCAGCCACCTTCTTCTCTGCCTGAAAAAAAAGAATAAAAATCCTAGAAATAAGCCACCTCTCCATCCATATTTATTTGAAGAGCAATGTTCAAGAGACTAAATTTAGGACATAATTTTTCATGTATATAAACTACACGGCTTACTAAGCAGCCTGTCAGCCAAATGGGTGTGTTTGTTTGCCGGGTAACTTGCGTATTAGTAGGTGTGATAGAATAAATTAGTACATGAGACCCAATTATATATACTTTATTTGTTATGTAATTTATCTTCAATATTATTTTTTGGGTCCTAAGCCTGACCTGATTGCTTCAATAACAATATACTTATGTCCATGAGTATATTGAATACCACCTAATAGGTGGGTATTATTTTCACCAACTGTATAACACACACAATTATCGTAATGCCCCTTTCTCCAAAGCTTGGCAATCCTCGAGACGACTCGTGAAATCAACACGAACTCGACACAGATTTAGCGGATTTTGAGTGTAGTCTTAACAGGTTCAGATGATTAACGGGTTAACTCGACAGACTCATAAAATAAATGAATTGATTTCATATTTAACCCATAAACTCTCGTTTAACCCGCTAACAATGACACTATAAATTCTCCAAAAAAAATTTGGGTCTCTCATCATCTACCTATTTCTTTCACATTTGTTGTTGTGCACACACTTTTTTATTCAGTCATGATTTATTGTTATAATAAACAAGTCAAATATATGTAATACATTACGAGTTGATAATTTCTTGTGTAAACTCAAAAATTACAACTGATTGTACCGGTTAACTCATCTAATAAATAAGTTGTGTATGGGTGTGATAGTTATACTCATTTATATAAACGAATGGAGTATATATAGAGGGTCTTTTTATACGAACTCATTCCACCCGATATGAAATTAGTTCATCCAACACGATTGTCAGGTCTACTTTATCCAGAGTCCCATGGATTGTAATAAGATGAAAAGTGTTTTTTTTGTATGAAATGCATCACCTAACATTAACTGTTTTAGTAGGTCCGACTTAATTCATTTATATAAAAACAAACAAGAAATGATATTGGATAGTATTGTAATATCGATAATAATATCCCTTTAAATAGATTTCGTATAGATAACATTTGCCAATACCAATAAATGCTATTCGGCAAATAGACACGCCGTTATCTTTTCAGTGCAATACAAAAGGATTAAAACATACATCCTGGACGAATAAAAAATAAGAGAAAATTGTGAAAAGGTACAACATTTCATATTCATTTGTGTTAAAGTATCTCAATATAAAATACTAGTCATAACTCGTGTCTGAAGACACGATAGAACAAAAAATTCGAGTCCTAAAAAATCGATATCACTATATTAAATAATATTTTTTCTTTCTCACAAATTAATCAAATATTAAATGGTTGAACATGCTATAAAAATAAGTGATGTGATGGTTTTGGGAGATAAGAAATGTATAAGAGATAAAATTCAACTTCCTGTATGTTTTATTATATAGTTTTGTATAGATATAAGGGAAAATTTAATTCAGATCCCCTGTAATTAAGTTTAAATTTAATGATACTTGCTTTCAATTTTGAAATTTCACTGTCACTCCCTGTTAGTGATTGTTAAATTACACAGTTAATGGCGATGGTTGATTTATAGAAATATCACCGAGTATTTTAACAACACCTAACTTTAACAACACCTCATGTAAATAGACTTAACTTTAATAACACTCTTTCTGATTCTGAAATTTCAATATAATCCATTTTAGTTCTATTATATTAGCCTTTATTTTGATCAATTTAATATTCAATTTTATCAAATTAATTTTGTTTATTTAATTTAAACTAAATTAACATTTCATCTCATCAAATCGATACAAAATTGATATTTAATTTTATCAAATTATCATTTAGGTATATTAATTTAATATTTCATTTCATCAAATTAATATTATTTTTTTAATTTAATATTAAGTTATTATTTATTATTTATTTTTATCATATCAACATCAAATTAAAATTCAATTTTATTAAATTAAACTATTTAATTTATTAAATTCCATTAATTTAAAATTTAACCTTATCAAATTAATGTCATTTCTTTAATTTAACATCAAATGAACATTTAGTTTTATTAAAATAACATTCAAATTTATTCAATTAACATTAAAGTTAATCAAATTAATACTAAATTAATATTTAATTTTACCAAATTAAAATTAAATTAATATTTAAATTTATCAAAATTAAGATCAAATTTAGTCAATTAATATTAAATTTTATCAAATAATTTTAAATTTTATATATGAAGTATGATGTGTGAGGAGCGGTCGAGCAACGTTGTGGATGACATATGATAACAGAGGAATTAGAAATGGATGAGATTTTGACATTGATTTTATTAATTGTAATTTTTATTATAGAAAAATTATTTTTAAATATAAAAATTATTATGATGAAAAAATATAAAAATTATAAAAACTTGATTATTTAATCAAATAAGTGATAATACGATGACTAATATTACAACAAATTTATTATATGACGTTTTAAAATAAAAAAAATTCATTGGGATAATATAATGAATAAAATTATGTTTGTTGGCTGACTAGCGCATATATAATAGGAAAAAAATCGATGACATTTTAGTCTATTTACATAATAAAGAGTAATTTTAGTATTTTCATAAAATATTTAGTTAAATCATTATTTTATCTACTGGCAGAGATAAAAGTTATTGTTATAGGAGTTGTTATTGAATTTAGATTCAACTACATGATATTTAAATGAAACTTTTCCTAAGATATAATATGTAGATATAGTATGTTTTCGATCTTTGTACTATATATATGTACAGTAAAGATGTGCGTGTGATATAAACAATAAAGATGGAGAGCAGCTATATTATGATAGAATTTTAGGGAGACGTGTGTCTCAATTTGGAAAGAGAATCATGAAAGATGATAGTGTAAGGGACAGTCAATGTCTCAGTATAGAAAGTGATTCTTTAACATAGAAAATAAAATTAAGGAAATAATGATAAGAGTTTTAGGGAGAGAGAGACAGAGTTGAGGAATGAGAGATCGCTTAATACTAAATTTGATTGGGTTGGGGAATTAAATTTAGGGATGTTAGTTTTTGAAACTAAAAGTTTTGAGCGGCAAAAAATTTTCAAGAGCTAATATGGTACGTCGGATCGAAACAATCTGAGACGTCAATAGTTTGAGACAATTTGAAATATCGTCAGCCGTTAGATGATGTTTTTTTTATCTCGAAACGATCTGAACTGCGTTTTGTCTCTTGAATTCAAAATCGTTCTACTTTATTACATAGATATGTATATAAGTATCTTTGTGTGTAAATGTTTGGTGAGAAGATACACTTTTGTTGATTTTTAAATTTTTCTTTTACGGAATTGTCATTTTTCTTTATTAATGAGAGACAAATCTGGCAGTTATATTAAGGGTTCAATTTTCTAAATTTATGGAATAGCAAAACAATTATTCAAACATTCTTATTCCTAAATTTATGGTAGTTATATTACACATTCAGTTTCCTAAATCTGGCAATTATACATTTTTTTAATATATTCCTCTTTCATTCAACTGAAGTTGTTCAAACATTTATTTTTATTCAAACATTCATGTCTTACTCATATTTGAATAATTTTTTTTTTGTTTTTTTAATAAACCATAATGAAAAATATATGTTTTCACCTTATATAATATCATTTGTTGCACCCAAGATGTGTTTTTTTTCATTGATATTTTAAATTTAAATTTATATGTATGTTATTCGATGTATTTATAAATAACAGTGGTATATGTTGCATTGGTACAGTGATAAATGTCTCATTGATACAATGGTACATGACAATGTCACAGTGCTAGAAGACAATGTCACACTAATACAAGTCAATATCACAGATATCATCCTATGTCACAATGATACAAACCAAATTTACACTACTACAAAACTAATATCACACTACTACAAGTCAATGTCGCACTACATACATTGACATGACACAGGATACAATGAAATATCATAATAGCATAATACACAAAAAAATTATATGACAGACACATCATGAATAATTAAATATAATATAAATAAGATTACATAATATCACAAACAAACAAAATAGGACAAATTGTGTTTGTGGGTGGAATTAGAGTTGTGAGGAGGTGGTGATGTTGTTTGTGGCCTTGATCAAATAGTGTATGTGGGGTTAGAAGATTTTAAGGGCGATGATGGCAGGTAAGTTATGTTGTGAGAATGTAGTTGTATATGACATCTTTGATTTTTTTGGCAAATTAACGAACATTTGATGTGCACGTAGTACCAAGTACCAGAAGCAAAAAAGTATTTGAGGGGAAAAAAAATAAATTAAATAAAAACGTTAGGAGAAACAACATTTTTTTGAGTTAGAAAAGTTTGAACCTCAATATAGGTCAAATATGCAAGTCATTGTACATAGTAATCGGCAAACTTGTTCTCATGGAAATTTTTGCTGTCTCCGTATCACATTTCGTCCTTTACTCACTCAATATCCTCTTTTTTTGTTCGTATTTCAAAAATTCCTGAATAACTGGAATTTTGATTTTCCGCTTTCAGTGGAAGAGCAACGTCAACCGGTTGGTTTTCCAAATTCGTATCACAATTATGTTGGGAAAAAGTACGGACATGATGGACTTTCAAACATCCAAGTGGACTTCTACGCCTAATATTTTAGTTAGAGTGCTTCCAGGCCAATATAAGGTTATCTTCCAAAAAAAGCAACCCTACCTGAATCTAGTCAGATCGTGTTGCAGGGAAAATGTGCATGTGATTAAATCCATCCCCATTCTCACTCTGTCCTTTGGGGCCTATGTATCGGCATGTTTTGACTAATATTTTAAAATATCTAGGAAATAAATTTCTAAAAATTTTCTCCTTTTATATTCTCTTTTCGAGGTATTTTCAAAATATTATTATTTTTTAATTGACCAAAATAATATGCAGAAACAAAATTTTCATCCTTACTTACACCAGTTACTCAACCCTTCTCACCATCTTAAGCCAAAGCATACCCCTATAAATACATCAAGAGCTACCTTCAGTTCTTGCTCATCCACAACTCTTCTACCCCTTGAGAACTCTCTAGTCCCATCTCTACCTCTTACCAAACAGACTTTGAGTGAAAAATGGCAAACTCTCGAATTGCAAGGTTTGTCACCGAGGTTGCACCACCACAATTTGTTAGTGTAATGAGGTACCGAGACTCTAAGATGTTATTAGATACGATTAACGAAGAAGAGAGAGAAGTTAGCACAAACGATTCTCTTTCATTGTCTCCGAAGTGTTTGGCTTCATCATCTTCTACTTCTTCATATTCAAAGACAACTTCTAAGAACTTTCTCATGGGGGTTCGTGCTCTTTTCCAGTCTCTGAAAACTAAAAGCCCACGTTTTGGGCATGTCTAGAAGCCAATTGTTTCTTCTTTGGAAGCATCAGAGTTCTCAATGTAGTCATCTGCAGTCTTTTATTTGCGTATGGATAGCATGCATTATGATACCAAAAGTTACACTTTCTAAAACGTCGAAGTTATACTTTTTAGAAGTGAAGTAACCTCTGTTTGTGTTCAATACCTATCAATTGCGACTTCACCTTTAAAAAAATATAACTTGGCTTTTGAAAGTTATAATTTTTCATAATTGATCACAATATTTTATGATCTATTATACCATTTATAATTGTAATTCACTCCATAAAAAATATTATAACTTGATCTTTAAGAGTAGTATGGGTGGCAGAAGAGCTTGATGGGGTGGGATTGGCAACACAGGTGGGCGTATCTCAATTGTTTCCATTTCTTGATTTGGGTTTTAAGGCAGGTGTGGCTTTGGTTATGGAGAAGAGAAAGAAAGAAGGTGTACATAGCCTGTAAATACTTTTGTATTGGAAGACATTAGTGAAATTGCCTTGGGCTTTTGGGTAATGAAATTCATGCCATTTTATCTGATTTTGCCAATTTCCTTTCGGTTGGGTGACACGTGGAAAGTTTTTTTTTTTTTTTTTTTTTACTGCATAAAAGTAATAAGCATGATAAATTCACCATTTTCTTTTCTTTTTCACAAAACACCATGTGCCTTCTTTTACACATCTCGGGATCCATCTCGGGATGACAAAGGTAGGATGAATAAATTTTATACTTGGTTTAGTCAATTTATATGGGTTTGTAAAAGAAATCATAAAAGAGTCTCAATTACGGCTTCTAGTGATAGTAGTAATAAGAAAAAAATTAAGGTTAAGGTTAAGGTTCAAATTAAGACAAATATGACCTAAAATCAATATTATCAGGATCGGTTATCGAATCGACAAAGGGACTGGATCAATAGTTCAATGATTCAACCGTTGGGTCAACTGGTCAGACCGATCATATAATAAAAAAATAAAAACATATATATATATATATTATATATATAAACATAATAATTTAGCCAAAAAAATATAAAATGTGTCTAAACTAAAAAAATATGATATTGATAAAATCATCCAATAAACTATTAGATACAATATTTAACATGCACTAAAATTTTGAGTTTCAAATGACAACACAACTCAAAATACTAAAATATAGAATGAAATATTATAATAAGCTTAAATGCCAATAAATTCAAGTTTTAAGTTAAATATTTCTAAACTTCAATATCAGTCAATCAATGAAAATATAATTAATGAAATTCAACAAACCGAATATAAGCAATAAATATAAGTAATGAAAACTCTATAAATATCTCAAATTAAATACGTGTTTTCATTACATCTTCAAAATAAAATAAAGGGTTAATTACAAATTGTATTTCGAAAAATAATTCAAATCTCAATTTACATCCTCAAAGATAAAAAAATCTCAATTTGCACCCTCAAAGATATAAATTTGTATCAATACACAACTCAAGCTAAAAGTCGTCAGGTTGCCGTCTAAAACTAAATAGATAAATTATATTTAGATCCCCTCATGTTTATCACTTAATCATTTGGATCCCTTCACAGTTAAAATATTACTTCCACACCTTCTGACATTTGTGCACATGTAACACATAACTCATTGTCGTTGATATCTGTTAATATAACCGTTTAAAAATATAATTTCATCATAATAAAAAATTATAATTTCAGACTATCCTTTATTTTGTGGGCACATTATATTCTAAAATTCAAAATCAAACTTACCATTTGAATACTCAATATAATGCAGATATTTTTATAATGTTCTTTATATGTAATACAATATATCACTTAAACATAATTATTCGAATGCCCAATTGGGGGAACATTTTTAGTCTTATTTAGATTCTCAAGGGATGTAGGTGTAATACTTCCAATATAAGGGCTCTAAGTGATTAAGTGACAAGTATGAGGGAGTCTAGGTATAATTTATTCATTTAGTTTTAAACGGCAAACCGACAACTGTTAGCTTGAAGTGCGAATTAATACAAATTTTTATCTTTGAAAATTTTATTTTTGAGTGAGTAAATTGAGATTCAAATGATCTATAAGGATGCAATTTAAAATTAACCCTAAAATAAAATAAACTGACTAACTAGGTCTTAACTCGACTAACTATACCTAATAAAGATAAAAAAAAAAAAGGTTGGTAATATCTGGTATTGCAACCATTCTAAAATCAAAAAATAAAATTGTCAACAAAAGAAAAATTATAAATCAAAAGATAGAAAAGAAATAAAAATACAAATACAAATATAAAATAAACTGTAACTACTAATATACAACAAATACATGTCTGGTGAATCCATGCCCCTTCAATTATGAATTGTTCCTTTACCACTTTTCACCAACGACTTGTTTTTATCCGGTGGTAGTTTTTTGTCAAATCATCACTCACCACTCCTATGACAGTTAACTAGCGGCTTTCCACCGTCGGCCCTCCTCTTGAGATGGGGTGCAGCTCCCCTGCTGTTAGCGGAAAACAGCAGGTGATGTTGTTAAATAAGACGGCACCGTTTAGATGACCCGACATGTTATTTTACAAGTTTGTACAATCTATCTACTTGGATATGCTTTTCTTAATGCATTCTCCATGGCTAAGTTGATGGTGATTTCCGTCACATGCAAATACCCATGTATGTTATTTCACAGGTTTATACAAAAACAATATGTAGGGAAAGAGATATTTGTGGTCGCGAAGAGATTGTGAGTCTGCCACTCTTGATTTGATAGAAATTTGTGATGCTCTTCTCCTTCACAACCATGGATCCCTTGATTTATACCATTATTGTGATGTGGATTGGGCTTGATGCTCCGACACTCGTTGCTTGAGTACTAGCTATACGTTATCTTTTTTAGCAACACTTGTATTTATTGGTGCTCTAAAAAGTTGTGGCTCGCACAAGTGGTTGAGGCCAAGTATCGAGCACTCGCCCACACCCCTACTGAGATGACTTGGATTACCTACATTCTTCAAGACCTATATGTTCGCCTTTTACAAATGTTGTACTCGCTCTGTGAAAACCATTCGGTATGTGACTTCGAAAATGTTTCCTAAGTTTGCCCAGTACTACATTGAGGATTTTTGCAGCCAAGTTGGGTGTGAGGATCCCCGCCACCTTTACCTTGCGGCTGGGTGATAAGGATAAGAAAGTTCAGCCATTAGAAGGATAAGACTCGAGGCCAGTTGACAACACTAGTAGGTTGAATATTTGGAGTTTGTCATTTTGAGGTTTTTTTTTTTTTTGGTGCTGCATTCAGAGAGTTTTGATCAGCCCGAATTATGCCAAAGATATGATACTGCCTTTGTAACCTACTCATCTATGTACATCATAGTACTAGGCTTGGAGTAAGTCAAGTCGACAGAACTCTTGTTTTTTATAAATCTTCTTTCTGACAAATATGGTATCAGAAACAAACCTATCTTACTGGTGAGGTGGGTCCCAGACGCGAACGTGTGGGCCCTTAAGGGGATGGGTCCTTGTGACCCAAATTCAAGGAGTCAAGGTGGATGAAATGAAGTGGGACCATCAAGTAATTATTAGGCGGCTATTTCATACCATGAATATTAATGGAATGTAATCATTTAATAAAAAAAATTATAAATGGATAAAATAAGACTTATTTTCTATCATAAAAATAATTATGTATTACATGATTGAGTGGTTATAAATTTTTGTAGGGTTTAATTACTGATTTATTTATGTATTAGTGAATTGTTATACCACGTAGTAGTACTGACGTGATATAACGGCTAAACCCAATAATTTTTCCTATACTTCATGCCACAGTAGCTGATAAATTGCCTTATGAATAGTAACTTTAAAATTTCTTAATTTAATCTATAATATAAAACAGAGTAAATTTTAATAAGTCTATCCAGTTATCTCAAATATAATCTAATAATTATTAACATTCTTCTTAAAATTATTCACATTGTAATATGCCTTCAGACACAGGTTATCTATAATACGTTTATAATAGGGACTTTATAGTATTCATTTTCAACCTTCTTCTAAAAACCATTAATGTTAGTGTAATGGCAGCGCAAGTGGTGAAAGGGTGTTATCTGTCAGATTCCTTTCAGGTCTTATTCAGTTCCAGAATGGGCGGCTTCAGCTATCCTTGTTATAGATTACCCTTTACACTTTTTTCTTTGCTGGACCCCCCCATATAAACACAAAGTTTTGCTTTACAGAATCTTACAACTGATCTCTCTTTTTTCCTTTATTTAGTTGTCCTTGTCGGCATGCACACGCCGTGCTTACATAATGATGATCATGGTGGTGGGGGCACTGGGAAGGAGTTTTATGATGGTGGTGAGTTAGTGATGAGGTGACAGAAAAAGGATGGAACTACTCCTTTCATGGGCGATTGCCAAAAATACCAAAGATCTGTAAAATTTACTAATACCCTTTATTAAATCATACGCATTATAATTTTTTTTTTTTGGTCATGAAGTATTACAAGACTTTCAACCCCCAACAATACTTTCTAACATCACTATACACATTAAAGGAAAAAAGGCAATGCTTTTTGACCTATTCAAAAGTGCATCCTGGTCATACTACCTTTTCTCTCTCATTTCACTTTCTGTTCTGAGTTGTAAAGTTCATATTTGTTTTTGTTTTGTGGCCAGAGTTTTACGGGTTGTAACCCCACCCCACCCAACCCCCTCGGCCACTCCTTCACCAAGGTTTTTTTGACTATTCTACAGTAATTCTGAAGCTTCCGACGTGATTTCTACTAGTTTTCGTGAAAGTGTGTTTGCAAAACATGCTTTAAGGAAGGAAACATAGAAAAACATGGATTCAACATATGTTTAGAAACAAAATACAGTAGTCTGATCGTTGATTCCTCTTTATCCATCTTTCTTCAACAGACGCAAAAATCGAACAAAAAATGCTATCCCCTT